ATTGCAAAAATATAATTCATTCATGCATGACGGCGATTTAAACCTAATTCACTTCAATAAAGATAACTATAAATGCTATTCTTGTCATGAGCAGCATCAAGGTGTGGGGGAGCTGCGGTGCAAATTCCACTCATGTTTAGTAGCCTACATGTTAACTCAAAGATTCTTAGAATAAAATATAAACGTTGGACTCTGTGGTCGATTCTGTATTAAGGTAAGGCATGTTATTCACAATTATGTGTTGTGGCTGGGTTGTTATAGGTCTGCGTGACTCTCGATGTCTTAGGCCTAATTGAATGGAGGAATTATGGTATTCTTCTGTAGCCTGACGACGAGTAACTTTAACCGTTGTTCATGTGAACTCAAAGACAGCCCAGAGAATCTTGCCCATTTCCAGCACTTTGTTAAAATATTGTTTTAGGTAACGTATTGTTGGGAAGAGCACTGCATGATTCTGAGACCTAATTGGTATAACAGTTTTAATTACTGAATGTAGCGTCAGTTCAGTGGTGTAAGCAGATATGATCTACATTTCAACATAAATGGTATACCAGCCCTTATGGTTTTCCCGATGTCTTAGGCCTAACTGAACGGAGGAATTATGGTATTCTTCTGTAGCCTGACGACGAGTAACTTTAACTATTGTTCATGTGAACTCAAAGACAGCCTGATGCTTTGTTTATAGACTATTTGTGGGTGGCTGTTTGTTGTTTCACCTATCAATTCGTGTCGATAAAGTATAATAGAGCAAATCCTGTATAGTGATTTATCCTATATAGTGCTTGCATAAAGCAAGTAGTGCATACACTTGTAGCTGTTATGTATCTTTGTAAGTCATTGTAAGCCCTCTTTTGAGGCACGCGCATGATGAAAATGCTCTTGTTCACATCACAAAACAATCTCTTTTACTGTTACTGATCAAATGTAATGGTGATATACAGACTAACAGAGCAGAGATGGTGTTTAATGGAGATTCACTGTCTGAGGGTTTCACTGGGATGCTCACAGCTGCAGTAATGCGGTTTTATTTTAAGGTCACCTTGAGGAACATCAGACCTGGAGGATTGGTAGAGTTTAGATCTGAACAGCTCTCTGTATTTGTGCTCTGATCTCGCACCTGAGACCATTAGATCTTCATTAATGGAACGATTTATTCTGAAAACAGCTTGTTCGGTGTCTGTCTCTCTGATGATGTTATTGTCACTGAAGTGCCGCTCAGCAGAGGGCAGTGTGTCCTCACCGGATATGTTCAGATGCAAGTGCACTGCAAACTACACACTGAGCTGCATGAAACTGTTGTCATGTGACCTCATCATTGATGCATGTTTAATTCAGTCAGAAATATTATAACTATTAATATAACTTCTATAATATATATTTATGTCATATACCTTGACCTTCAGCTTGAATAGTGTTATTTTAGTATTGTTTATTTACTACAACACTGTTTATTAATGTTCTGAATATTTCTATTTTTTTATTTTATTACATATTTCAGTTTTAACTTAGTCATTTTAGTACGTTTAAGCTCTAAGAACTTAAATACAACTTCAACTTTTCATGTAATATTTATATTTGATTTCAGCTTTATTTCATTTACCAAAAGCAATTTTTAATAGCTCTAGTTCACAATAATAACACTGTTTTGATATTGTTCAGATACATTCTGCACATCCTGCGCAAAGTTAATTTTTAACCTGTTGCATGTTTATATGATATGGCTAATTTAATAAAAAAGTGCAGTAATCTCAGCTCACACCATTCCGAAGCCAAACAATAGTCTTGTGTTTAAGGCAATTTTTGCATCTCAAAATACGTCAGATTTGCCATCAATGACAATCATTCAAGAGAATCAGTGATGCTTCATGTCCCTGATATCAAACTTGAACAAAATGATATTTAAGTTGCTTCATCTCACATGATGTGCAATAAAATGCATGAGTGAAGTCAAACTGATATTTTTGTGCAATTAATCAAAGTACTTGCAAAAAATACTTGCAGAAGTAGCAATGGTTTCTTTTACAGTGTTTAGTGCTCATATGTGTGTTGTTTGCTTGTTGTCAAGTGAGATCTGTGTGTGTGTGTGTGTTTATGAGCTCCCAGAACTCGTCTGCTGGCATGAGTCATGCCTCTGGGCGGATGAGGGATGTATGGCATGCCATCTCAAGGGCATGCCAGCATGTGTCATTTACAGTCAGATGAACAGGACATTTACCTGGTTTGAAGTGCGGGAGAGAGTGAACACCTGGCCACGTCTCCTCTGACTGCGTCCCCAAAACCTGCACAAACACACAGAGAGAAAACACTCATTCCTTCACAGAGAAAACAGCTGAAGGGCAGAGCAAAGACAGAGTCTGATTGATCTCAAAGGAATATATTACTCTGCTGGACACCAGCAGGCCACACACTTCATTCACATTGGTTTATTACGCAAAAGTGTGTGTGTGCGTAATAAACTCCTGCGACAAATTGGGATCTCGCTTAGAGAGACCAATCTACTTCGAGTGTAAACTAAATGAGCCAATGCACATTGGCATGCGATTATTGCATCCAGCTGCCGCTGATCACAGCGTGAGTATAAGTAGGCAGCAGATGCAGCGCATATTCAGCTTTTCGCTTAGGAGACGAGCGGTTCTATAGTTCTGCTCCTGACCTTCTGCTAAGAGTAAAGCTACAGTCAAGCACGCTCTTCGTGGGCTCTCGTGCTGGTGGTACGGCGCTTCAGCGGCGGTGGTTTCCCGTGTCGAGTGGGTTGCACACATCAGGCTGCACTACCCCCTGTGTGCGTTGCAGACGGCCATCTCCCCTGTGCGCTTCAGCACACTAAAAGAGCAATTTCCATCTAAAAGAGCTTCACGGGTGGAACGTCTTTTTAAAGACGCGTCTTTTTAAAGATGTCGTACCATCCGTGGGGTTCTGGGTGCGGTCGTTACCTGGCGCCGGGTGATGGTCAAGATCGCCGC